ATATTAAAGATTTTACACACTAGAGTATGTTTTGTCTTGATGTAGCAGATGCCAGGATCTATTTACAGCAGGCAGGGAGCTCTGGGGTGCCCTCAACCTGTCCTGTAACAGTTTCTTTACAACTCTTGCAGATTTTAGCATATACCTACTGTATATATTGTGCTGTTAACTTGTAAGCCTATTCTAAACTTTGTAAGACTTTTAATTTTGTAAGCCTATTCTATGAATTAAATGGTAACATATTTTTAATTTATTTCCATGTGTTGATTGCATATGGAAATATAATTTCAATTTTCTATGTTGATACTCTATCCTATGAACTAGTTGAACTTGTTTACTTCGAGGGCTTTATATTTTTCTTTATTTCAGTCACTTGGCATTTTCTTTGTAGAAAATTTTTCTGCAAGCAGAAACACTATTACTGTAGATATAGTCTCTGAAAACAGAGTACTATTTTTTTCAAGCTGTAAATATTTTTATTTTTATAAATTGAATTTTTTTTCTTACATCATGTAGTCCCCATAGTTCTCCCATTACTATATGAACCTGTGAGCCATCACCATAAACCTTTGTGTTCTTCCACCCGTTTTGACCCTCTTCCTTCACCCTCCCTTGCTGTATGCCTCAGACCCCTCAGACCCACATCAGCTTTCCTGTTTTGACTTTTTCTTGACCTTTGTCAAACTGTAAACATTTTAAATCTTTTCTTCTCTTATGCTCTGGGTAAGATTTTCAGTAGTATTTTGAGGAAGACTGGAGAAAGATGGCATCTTGTCTTCTTCCTGATATTAAGGACGGAATTTTCATATTTGAATGTTCCATTTTTTTTGAAGATTTATTGTGCATTTAAGAACTGGGGTACAGACCAGAGGTGTGGGATTCACCAGAGACAGCATGGGGAACAGAACAGGTGGATTGACTGAAATACACTGCTGAGGGGAGCAGCGGGAGAGACAGGAGAGGTCTGGGGCACTATGTGGGTAGCTCCCTGCTGCAGACATTGTGGATGGCTTCAAAGTGCTATGTTTAACCTCTTGAACCACCAGGGAGGCCTGAATGTTCCATTTAATAGTTCTAAAGAATCTTCAATTCATTATGTAAGCTTAAAATCACTTTGCTGGTATTTTCTTTCTGCTTAAACTATTTCCTTTAAAATTTCTTGTATGTTAGGTCTCCAAAATAAATTCTTCAACTTGAGGAACTAATTTGAACTAATCTTTTGTTGATTATTTTCTTCAGTTTTTAATTAATGTATCCGTTAGGGTATTTCTCATCTCTGATACGATGTTTATTTTCTGGCATGTCTGTTGCCAAATGTGGGCTTTCTACCCAATGGCACAGAAGTCAGAAACCATGCCACCAGCTTATAAGAAAAGAACTAGTTTATTACAAGGTCACCAGACAGGAGAACAGAGGCTGTACTCTCAAATAATCTTTCCAAGGATAATGCTTTAGGAATTATTCATGGGGCTGTGGAATAAAATACTTACTAAAAAAATTCCAGTTGGCAATCTGATCAGTTGCTTTGTGTTAAATCATGGTTGAACTCGAATTTGAGTCCAAAACTACAACAAAACTGAATACATCTTGCTTCTAAATATCCATCTAGCCATGAGTTGGGCATCCTCAGTTCCATCTTCTGTGACTATTTTCTGCCCAGACAATGAGAGGTCACCTCAAGGGCAGTGAAACTTCTCTGGGCCTGTGCTCTAAAACACAAATGCCAATTCATGAAAATCTGTTTTTCTCCCATTTAAAATGGATTTGGGGAGATGGATTTCGGGGATATGGAGTCAGAGGAACATTCTTGATTTGTTTCTAGGAGGATAATCTGAAGTAGTCAGAGTGACCTTGGACCTAGAGGATCCATGACTTGGGATGAAAATAGAGCCCCCACTAAACACTGGACACTAATGCCGATGACCACAGAAGAGACACTAAGGAAATTCAACCCACACAACAAAGGGTGAGTGAAAAGAAGTGCCTAGAGATGTGGTCAGGATAGGAACTAGTGGTTCAAACCCCTGTCATCATGACAGAGTGGTCCTGTGGGGGGTAGAATTGCTTATTGTGGAAGCTTACACCTAACTGTCAGACAAATTTGGAAAAATGCTGTGGTTTACCTAGGGGGTAGGGTGCCCTGAGATGGTGATAATGATCAGAACAGTGCTGCCCCTCAGGACTCGAGCTGACCCTTTGAAGAGGTGCTGAAAGTCCAGTTGATTTGTCGTCAAATTTTGTAATCATATATTAATTGCAATTATTCTGAAGTCTTTTGTTACTTGCATAAGTTGCTTACTCTGCTTTGTAAGTAGAGAACTCCACAGGAGAAAGTCTAATACGCAATCTGGAACTATGTATTTTAACCTCATTGTTCATTTTTTTTAAAGATTTATTTATTTATGCATACAAGAGCTGGGGTACAGGCCAGAGGTGTGGGGGTGAGAGAATTCACCAGAGACAAAGTGGGGAACAGAACAGGCAGATTGACCGAAGTACACTGCTGAGGGGAGAAGCAGGCAAGTCAGGAGAGGTCTGCTGCGCCATGTGGGTTGCTCCCTGGCCAGCCTGGGAAACAACTCGTGCTGCAGAGGCTGTTTTTTGCTTCATAGTGAGGTGCTTAACCCCTTCCACCACCAGGGAGGCCCCTCATTGTTCACTTTTGTACAGTTTGCTTTCTCCTCAGGTGTAGTCCCCATAAAATTCCCACCACCAAATCACCCATGAGCCATCACCATCGTCTCTTGTGCTCTTCCCACCCCTGTTTTATTCCCTCTCCCTCTCCCTTCTGATTTATAGTTGCCTGCTAGTTTTGTCCTTTTTTCCCCCAATCCCTTATTTAGTTCCCCTATATTCCTCCTATAAGTGAAACCATCTGATATTTTTCTTTTATCCTTCTGGCTTATTTCACTGAGCATGATCCCTTCCAGCTCCATCCATGTTGCTGCAAAAGGCATGAGTTTATCTTTTTTGATTGCCAAATAGTATTCCATTGTGTATATTACCACATCTTCTTGATCCATTTATCTTTTGGGGGCATTTAGGTTGTTTCCACATCTTACCTATTGTAAAGAATGCTGCAATAAACATAGGTATGCAGGTTTGTTTTTTGTTTTTTTTTTTTCAAATTAATGTTTTTGTTTCCTTTGGGTAGATTCCTAGAAGTAGATTTGCTGGGTTATACGGTAGATCCATTTTCAGTAATTTGAGAAACTTTCACACAGCTTTCCATAGTGGTTGGACCAGTTTGCACTCCCACCAGCAGTGCAGAAGAGCTCCTTTTTCTCCACATCCTCCTCACCAACATTTGTTGTTGCCAGTAATTTAAACATGTACCATTCTCACTATTGTAAGGTGGTACCTCATTGTGGTTTTGATTTGCATTTCCCTGATTATAAGTGATGTTGAGCATCTTTTCATATACCTATTGGCCATTTGCATAGAAAAACAGATTTTTTATGGAACTGAGTAAAAATTATAGATGCTTAAGGAGAAAAAGGGATTTACAAAAATTGCTAACAGACTATCTAGATTTGTTGCATGGGATTGAATAAACTGTGAAAGACTAATGTAATAATGATTTTTTTGAGATACTAGCTTTTAATGTTTTGCTATTTGTTTACAGAAAATATTTTTTTAAACTATGACCTACAGCAATGGGAAATTGTATTTTGTGAGTAGAACTGGAATGTTCACTTCTCTCCCTGACATTCCAAAATATAAAATTTTTGTAAGTAAATTAGGTAAATATATATTATTTATAAGTCAACAGAATTTTATAGGATGAACTATTCTGTGTCTGGTTTCTATTGCTCATAATCAAATTTGTGATGATAATCTACAAAGACAAGAGCAGACACTTAAAATAAGAAAAAAATACATAAAGGTATGATCAATCTCAGAGATAATCAGAATTGTGCAAATGTAATAACATAGGAAACCTTTCTAATTTTATTGTTGAAAAAATTATTACCAAAGTGAAACTGGTTGGTAACACATGGTGAAGATAATGTTGGGAGGAGCAGGTATTTTGGAGTGTGGCATCTGAGATGAGCAGTGAACAGCTTCAAGGAGGGTAATTATTAAATAGGTCTTATAATTTAAATGTACTTAGATTTGACAAAGAAATAATCAGTTAGAGATTTACCTTATAGATATGATCCAAGCATATATACTGTATTAAGTACTATTCATTGCAGTATTTTTCTATAATTGCAACATTCCGAGAGAAACCTAAATATCATTTGAAATGAAACTGGTTTATTTGCAGCTACTTATAAAAGTGAGGCAGCTCTTTATGCTTTGATATGGATCAATCTGCAAGATGCATTTTAAGTTTAAAAATTAAGAAAGAAATAGTAACTATAAATTTGACCTATAGTCAAGTAACATTTGATTTAAGAGATAGCATGAGTATGGTTGTTCTTTCCTGGGTATCTCTGTTCTGACAGCTAGGAAACTGGGAATGTTTGCCTTTGAGAATGGAACTAGGCAAAAAGAGGGCAAGATGGACAAAGGGAATTTGTCCATCATTTCATGTCTCTTAATTCTGAATAATATGAAGGCATTACTTACCTATTCAAATAAATGGAATTAAATGATTATCAAAAATAAATAAAAATCTTTCACTCCATCAAAATGAATTCATTTTATGTTCTCTAATTTGGTTCTTGAAGTTTCAAAATTAAGCTTATTTTAGGGAGTTAAAATGTAAATATGTATACCATATATTGATATGTATAATATACATCAACACATACATTATATATTAACATATATGCTTAAAGCATATAATGATATATGTTATATATTACAGATATATGCATCTCTCCTCAGGAATACTTGAGATACCATAATCCTTCATAAATCATGCATGTTGACTAATTTGAATAAATAAGCTTTTTCCTAACAATTAAAAAAATTATTGACCTTGATTATAACAAGTCATTTATTATCAAGACAAGTAAATTTCTTTTCACAAATAAAAAAACACTCTGGTACAATCAGCAGTAGCAATATTTGTTAACTTGATGTATCCACATTTGGCATCAGGGGTACTTGGTTGAAAACTCCTACAGTAGAAAACATACTTATTATAGAAAGTCATGCCTTAAGCTAAGTCTTTTAACACATGTAAAATGTAAGGGCGCAATTATTTCAGTAGACATATATAACCCAACATAGATATAGAGCTGTAATTTATAATTATTTTAAAACAAATGGAAATATTGCAAATGATAATGAGAAAGAGAAGATTACAAAGGTCGGTGTGAATGTGATACATGTGGATTAGATGTCAGATGTCACATTTGAAAAATTATTCTGAGACCATTAAATTTAATATAGAAAATAAATTATGTGACACATGGTAACAAGATAAAAATATTTCCAGTTTCCCATGTGTCTATAGCACTAGACTTGCTTTGAACATAGAAGCTGCTCATATGTGTTTAAAAAGCAGAGGACACATTTATCCTGAGCTTAATATCTTTCACAGCAAACACAGCATCACAGTTATCCTACACACTGCTTCATGGCTTTCCTCTCAGCTCTTTAGACACTCTTCTCAGCAATGTTTTCTGTTATCCTTGCATCCCCATTTTTCAAAACTATTTTAATACTATCTTGAAAATCTGAGTATTTAAGAGTTCAGGCCGTAGATTTCCTGATGATCACTTGCTGCCTTGCACTAGTAACACTGTCTACACACTGAGATGACACAAATTCACACTCCACACAGATGTCTCATTGGAACTTCATAACCACCTACCAAAATGCCCTGGGTACATCCCATAGGAACTAAATGTTGAATAGATCCATCAAACATAGATACAAAAACAAAATCTAGAAATTCCTCATTAGAATTGATGGCAACAATGGCCTTATCATTTCTTAACCAAAAGCACTGAAATCAATGATTTCTCTGTCTCACACATCTTTGAAATATTTATATTCTTTAATTTTCACCAGGACTAATATGCCCCTGTTCAACAACCCATCATCTTCTCTAAGTTGATGACTCCAACTAGACTTCCTACAGTGCAATTTATATCCCCCAAATGTACTCACACAATCTAATCTTAACAATTATCTGGGTCTTTAAAACAAGAGGTCTGATTTTGTAAACCCTCTGCTCAAAACCCTCCAAATTTTTTTCTTTTTCTTTCTTTTTTTATTTATATATATTTTACATCAGTGTTCATCTTTATATTTATGACCTCTCATGTCCCACATCTCTGTAACACACAAGAGATAAAAATAGAACAAACTATTATTTTGCTGTCATTGGCATTTCCTTCATTACAGAATATGAAAAGAAAATGCCCTTTAGATGTGATTATTTGGGGATCTGAGATTTGCGTTTGGTTGCCTGAGAAATGGCATCAAATGGTGCTAAGCATGTCCCTTAAATCTCAAAAAAAAAAAAAAAAAAAACTTTCCTTTCTTTTCCTATAAATCATGTAATCTATAAATCAGTTTCTGAGAAAGAAATGGAGAGGGAAAACTATGAGATGAAGACTTACAGCTTCCGGGAAAGTTCCACTCCATCCTGCCACAACCAGGGATGTGTAGTTCCTTTCCTGTGTAATCCAACCCAATAGTTGTATCTGATTCTTTGTTGAATGAATCGCTGTGAGCAAATTAGATTTACTAGCATTATTTATAATATCAATCATGACTATTTATCTAAAGAAGACTCTCAGAAAATACCTATAATTTCAAACGCCAATGATAATGAAGCAGGGTTGATTTCTCAGCTGTACAGGGAAGGAATCAAAATGGAAAGGTCTCAGTGAGTCACTCATGGAAAAAGAAACCAGGAAAGATCATGGTAGATTTGAAAATCTTCACAAATACTAGAATATGTAGGTAAATATGACTGCACCAAAGTTAGAATTTCTCTTCATCAGCAAATTGCCCAGCAGGCAAATTTTAGTTTTAGCAAACTAAATTGCCCAGTAGGGCAAATAAGTAAAAAGAAGTAAAAAGAACAGATATTTCACATGAAATCAAACACATTGTCAAAAATTTAGAAAAGTGCCTCATTCACTAGAAATCAGGGGAACGCAAAGATAGGCTACAAAGATGTATTTTACAAATACTCAGCTGTCCAAGATTAAGATGACAACGAAACACCAAGTTTGCAGGATGGTTAAGATCAAAGAAATTTCTTTAAACTATTAGAAAAATCATATCAAACATTAATTTGGAACTACAATAAAAACAAACTTTTATGTTCCTTGTATTTTACTCTTAGGGTGACTTGCATTAAAGAGAAAAGAAGACATATGGAAGTTAATAAACGTCCTTGACAATTTTCCCTATCTATGAAGTTGGAATCATACAGCTTTGAACATTTTATTGCTGAAATAATTACATTGATAGAGCCTGAAACACCTTAACATTAAAATATTTTAATAATATATAGTTGGTATTCAAATTGCTTTATGTTTTATAGATTAAAAGGAAACAAAAATTTCACTAATAGGAATCAAACAAGAATAGATTTATAAATCACAATGAAAAATAGGACAGTAAACAATTTCCTGAGAGTAAAAGAAAACTCAAATCATTTAAGATTGATAAATAAAAGCTAAGTTTTAAATTGATTAAGGTATTTTAAGCCCTATCTGGGTTTATGTATTTGTTTGATTCCATATTCTATTACTTGGTTCATTCACTTATTAAGAGTGATTCATTATATTGTCATTGTAATAATAAATGATCATAAACAAGGACACATAGTATTTTTTAAAGATTTATTTATTTATGCATACAAGAACTGGGGTCTAGACCAGAACGGCCGGAGGTGAGAGGATTCACAGAGTGAGGAGCAGAACAGGCAGATCTAGTGAAATACACTGCTGAGGGGAGCAGCGGACAAGACAGGACAGGTCTGCTGTGCTATGTGGGTTGCTCCCTGGCCAGGTAGAGATCTAACTTATGCTGCAGTGGCTGGTGATAGCTTGCTAGTGCTGTGCCTTTAACCCCTGTGCCACCAGGGAGGCCCAACATAGTATTTTTTAACTCATCCTTCCTCATTTTCATCCTCAATCTTGATGAGACAAGAACCCTGGACTTCACATGACTCCTTACTCTCATTCCAAATTTCCTTTGAAAACTCACTGACAAGTCACTAATAAAAATAACACTGATAAGACTTAAATTATAAATGGAATCCAGGCCTCATTTGAATCATTTGATGGAAATGTATGAAATCTGTTAGATTGACTTTATACTTCTAAACCTTATAGTTGATAGAAATTAGAACTAATTTTTTCTCTTCCAGAAATGAGAGGGTTCCTCCATCATCAGGATTATGATGAAAACAATATTCATTTTTTGTAGAATCATTTGGGGTATATTCATTCTCTTTGTTTTTCAACACATTATTTCCATTGCAATGAAAGTATTCATTTTCACTTAGAAATGTGAACCTTCTCATTACAGTTTCCTTATTAGTGTGTGTGGTATGATAAGAAATGTCAAAAGAGACATGAAATTACATCTCAATCACACACTGTGCTCCAACCCAATGTTATCTGAAAACATAATACATAAATGAAAAAGAGATGGTGGAGGATGATGTGTGTCTTAGCAGTGGGTATGGTGCGGTAACAACATAGAAGTGGGAGATCGTATACACTAAATCATGTACAATATGAACCAATGATACCTCACTGAAACATATCAGAAAAAAAAGAAAAAAGAAATGTGGGCCCCTTCAAATGTTGATGGTAGAAGAATAAAGCTCAGCACAATGAGAAGTATTCTCTTTTTCGCTGCTAATCTAATTGAAAGGTTTTTCTTTTGTCCTGAATAACATCAAAGGCTAAGTACTGAGAAGTCTGATGCATATTAAAATCTGAAGATGGGGGCCTCCCTGGTGGCATAAGGAGTTGTCTCAGTACTATGAAGCTATCGGCAGCCACTACTGCATGAATTCGATTCGGGGCCAGGGAGTTAACCCATATGGTGCAGCATATGTCTCCTGTCTCGTCCGCTGCTCCCCTCAGCAGTATATTTCAGTATATCTGCCTGTTCTGCTCCCCACTCTATCTCTGGTGAATCCTCTCACACACACCCCCACTTGGTACTTCTGGCCCACATCCCAGCTCTTGTATGCATAAATAAATAAATCTTTTATAAACAAGTAAGTAAAATCTGAAGAGACATCACATATAATAAAAAGAATACAAACTATGCCATGAAACCCACAACAAAGCTTTTTCTTTGGTTTAAACAATGTTTGCTCTAAGTCTATATTACACCTGTGTCCACTAATCCATAAGTAAATCTCCACCAGTAAGTACAGTGCTTCAAGCCAATTAGCCCAATAATACCAGAGGGAAATATAAAGATTATATTAACACCCAACATAGGACATTGTCATAAAGCACTTACTCAGATTTAATAAAGCTAACATACCTGCTCATCCTCATCATCAATCTTAATGAGATGAGAACCCTGGGCTTCACAGGACTGCTTACTCTCATTCCAACTTTTCTCTTCCTTTGAAAAGTAGTAGCAGTTGCTTCCACAGCAGGACCAATTCCCACGACATGTATCAGGAGGAATTTGTTTATCTTGAGACACACCTCAAAATAATGCACATTTCATTAATATATATTTCATGGAATGGAAGTTGTTTATCTTGAAAATTAAAGTCAGTATGAATCTCAATGGCATGGCCATTTAGAGACCTCTGTTTTATGTATTTCATTGCTTACTGTTGATGAATTACCAGAGAATATGTGATTTTCCTGTGTCACAAAAATCTATATACTAGGAAAAGCTCCTCTCCAAATTCTGTAGATGAGAATCCTGTGGAGCCAGTGACTATCTCAACAGACTCAAGGCCATTGTTAAGATAGTACTAGAGGGACCTCCTCTGGTGGCTCAGTGGTTGAGTGCTGGGCTGCAAAGCTGCCTGCAGCCTCTGCAGCACCGGTTCGATCCCCAGCCGCCGGCAAGGGTCCCACATGGCATGACAGACCTCTCCTGCCGTGCCTGCTGCTCCCCTCAGCAGTGTATTTCATCAGTCTGCCTGCTCTGTTCCCCGCTCTGGCTCTGGCGAATTCTCTCACCCTCCCTGCGCTTCTGAACCAGTGCTTGTATAAATAAATAAATAAATAAATAAATAAATAAATAATAAAAAAAAAAAAAAAAAAAAAGATGGTACTGAGAATCTTGACTTCTCAAGTACAAATAGTCTAAAGTGATATGGAGCACGTCTCCTCAAGTTAGAAATCCATCAAAGTGAATATACAGATGATATATTAACAAGGAATCTATACATGGGAACATTAATTCTCAGGTACATACCACACCAACAATTCAACATGACAATGAATGTCCTTGCTTTGGGAAAGCCAAGCATGATTACTTACAAACAGTAACTGTATTTGATGAAAAAATATGAGCAAAAGGAAAGTTCCTGCCAAAGTGCAATTAAGTTTTAATTACATCTAGAAATGGAGCAGAAAAGGATGATTCCATGAAAAACAAATTTGTAAACTTTGAGCTTAAGTATATAGTACATACTTGTATACACTGGTGAATTTGATTGAGTACAAACTTCTGGTGAGGAAGCAGAATTTCTTTCTGGATTATTCAAATTTTCACATTTGCAAGACTTCTGAAATACTTTAATCCGTACTATAAAAATAAGATCATTGGTCCGTTAACATAGGTCATTTTGTTATGATCATTTACTCAAATTTTAGATAATAGAATAAATCACATTAACTAAATGGAAATACACTCAGAACACATGAAGTTAAAATAATTGAAGTGTCATAAATTAAAAAAAATTTTAAATTAAAGAATATGCTACACATTA